TCCCATTAAAAAAGTACATTTGCAAAAGAAATACTCCGTATCTTCTCAAAGAGCTCGTAGAACTCCACAAGCCATGGCGTCCTACATCTCCCCATCTACTACAAATCCTCTTCAAAGCACAACCTACAAGTCCCAACTCAAACCACGGTTTCCGATTTCAATCACCTTTATCTCTTCTTCTCATCACAGGGCGCTAAGGATGGATTTCAATGCGGCTGCAAAGCAGCAGACCGGTCCAGTGAAGAAGCGAACGAATTTAAAAACAAAAAAAAAGAGAAGCCCGAGTAGCAGTTCTATTGTGGACGCTGACGAAATTTATGAAGATTTTGAACTCGAACCGAACAATGGAGCACCGCCGCCTTCCGAAGGTTACCACCCGTTGCCGCTGCCTAAGCCTCCCGCCGGCTTCGTCCTAGATGAGGAAGGCCGGGTTCTTATGGTTTCAGAAAAGCGTCTTGTTACGATTGTGAGTTTCTAATGTTCTTAGTTTCTCAGCGGGAATGGTTTCTTGAACCAGGTCATCCTGCACTTATTTCCCGCTTTTTTTCACTCCGTCAGTCATATTTCATAAAGGTTGTGCTCTGCAAAGAATACCAATGGGGTTATTTAGGCAATATGTTTAAGGATCATTGTCTAATTGATGAAGATTGTGGGTTGTACATCTTCTATCTCAATCAATTTACTATTCCAAGGATTATTAGTATTCATACTTATAACTATTAGCCCTAAGCTTTGACAATGGTCAATGGAGACTAAAGTGGGGTACTACCGGTGGGGTACTACCGCACTATGTAGTTCTCTGTGTTCTTGACAAAAAGTATTTTTGCAGCAGACAACTGGGATTTTTGAATAGTGACTATGAAAAAATATTGTGGGTATGCAATCTGAACTTGGATTTACGTTTTCTTATTTTTTTTTTTTAACTTTGAATGTTGATAGAAATGTAGGTATTGTGAATTTTAGTTACTATTGCGTACTGTTCATTACCAGTTGAATGGGTTCCAGGCTGATAACTTATAGCTTGTTTGAGTGTTACACATGTCATACACATTATTAAATTTCTCGTATTATATCTAGCACTTATTTACTTGAAAGTCTTGAACTTCCTATTTAAAGGTTATTCATTTTCTCAATGCTTGATCGAAGTTCATCATTTTATGGACTTGGATGGCAGGTGGATCCAACCAATAATTCACCTTTAGAGTGTGTTATTAGGAGGGTATGCAGAACTACACAGGGGGTTGAGTGCATGCTGCTCTGCCCTGTTGATATGTAAGCACTAAGTAGCTTACCTTATTGTACTCAATTTTGCATTCACTGAAAGAATTATCAAGCTTTCTTCCATTATCAATTGCATCTAACAAATGACATCATACCTGCAGGCCCATTATGATCTTGAAGAGCACAAATGTCGTGGGGTGGACAGCTGTATGTCTTAACATTAATTAATGCCGTTAAGTGTTTATATTTTATTTCTTTTGGTATGGTCATCCTCACAAACATCAGTAAAATATATTTGGTTTTGAAGACCTGTTCGTGGCTTCTCAAAATAGATTTCATGAAAAATGCTTATTTAAGCCCCCCAACATTTCCCCACTTTTATCTAGCAACAACAACATTACCCCCACCCCCCAGTGCCGCAAAGGCTCCTACCTATGGTGGAGTAACCGGGTAAGGGGTCGGATGTGCACAGCCTTACCCTTGTACTAAAGGACAAAGTGACTGTTTCCGGATGACCAATGATTAAAACTACGTTGAAAATTGCATGAATTGATTGCTGCTTCATAACAACGAAGCGCAAATAGTTTAGTAAGCCATTTTGCTTTATTCCATCATATTCCCTTTTATCTAGTCTGAACGTAAAAAAGAACTTTACATTTTGGCCTGAATCCTACTTTATCTATTAGATATGCCTCTAAATGAATGGAAAAAACATTTGCGTGTTAATGTTTTCATGTCCAATAATCAAAGCATGGCACAATTTAGATCCAAATTGTATGCACTTCTTGTCATAGGTCAGTGATGATGAAGTTGAAACTATCCTCCCTATGGCAGCCTATGCTCTTGCCAAGATTCACATTCATCTTGTACATAGTGGGTATGCAATATGTGTATAAGATTTTTGCTAAGATTGATTGCTTCCTCTCTTGTGTGTTGTCTTTTGGAATGGTCAGTGCTAATATGCTCTGTTTCTGGCATCTTCACTTATTTCCATTACCTAGGTTTTGCTATACTGCACGTGGAGGATTTTGCTATACAGAGGGTGACATCTTTGATCTTTGCATGGGTATTCTCTTAATCCTAATCTGTATCACAATATTTGAATTTGGTTATAAACAACTGCTATAGTGGTTTACCTAAATTAGAAGTTCCTAATATTAAAAAACCAATACCTGCATGCTTTCCACTCACTATCAATTACGAATAAAGAAACCCATGAAGTTTATGTTCCCTCCCATATGATTTAAAAAACGTACTCCACATTAGGCACGCATGCATGCATCAAGGAGAAATAATTGTATTATGGTCATTACTCATTAGCACTTGTCACTGATTAGTCATTAAGACTCATTATAGGTATTTAACTTATAATGACTATATTTAAATCAGTAAATGAATAAATGCATAGAATATAATGCTTTTTGGAACCTCTGCAGATGAAGGCCAGAGAGTTGACGGTGTGCCAACCGAAGGAGTAGAAATCACATGCTTCAATCTTGTAAGTCTTGTTGTCTGATATGTAGGAAAGTTGTTCTGATTGGGTATGCTGGTATTGCATTGTAGGCCATGTGTAGGCTTTTCATATATGCATTTTAGTCGAAATTGGGTTATTTTGACAGGAAATAATGATTTGATTATATATTTGTCTTGCAGTGATTTTAGTGTTTTTAACTTCTCGAGTTCCAGAAGTAGCAACCCATATATGGATATATTGGTAGAGGATATCAGCCGTCAATGATCTTAATCCCATTCGTGATCGAATCTTTGTAAATATTTGTTTCACCATCTTGCTGAAAGTTGCACCACCCTTTTGGTTGAAATACACTACATGTGTTAGCTAAATCATAATTTAGAGTTCTTAAAGGTGGATGCTAGGTGAGGTCTACCTGAGTAGCCGCTAAGGCTCTAAGTGAGCATAGGATGCCCGAGCCTAGGAGTCAAACTAGGCTGGTCTGGTTGACCCAGGCCTTGTTTTTGGGTGATAGTGGATCAAGAGTGACAGCTCTGACATATTAGGTGTAGACACAGTGCCTTACACTTACAATTTAAAGTACACTTTGATGTTTGGTGCTGCCTAGTGCCTACTATTTCAGTGATTGACTTTTCTCGCGGCTTCTAGGATACATACATTCATAAAAAGTAAGACACAGTATGAGACTATGAGTCATATTTCAAGTGCATACAAATTGCTGTATTTGGCTATTGCTTTGTATTTCTAAACTATATTTATATATTTCCATAACACATATTTCATCATCTAAAATATAAAATGGATATACATTTGAACTTAAAAGTAATATGTAGTGTAAAAAGGTTCCAGAGAAAATGCTTATATTGATCTTTATTTTATTGGACCTTACTATTTGCTGACCTAGCGCTTGGCCTTTAGAACACCCTCTTGGATCCCTAGGACATTAGGTTTAATTTAGGTAGGACCATTACTTACATATGTTGGAATTTATACATATTGTCTTTCATATTTATTTCTCCAATTTCATTTTTCACATTACTTTTCAGCTCTATTTTGGTACTTTGGGAGAGATTTAATTGTTTTTGTATGCTATATACTCCTCACTTCATTTGTTGGTTTCTATTTGATCAAGATGCTCTCAGTAAATGAGAAGTGCTGCACCCATTCCCTGTCGGTATCCCCAATTTCAGCATTGCAATGTTCATTTTTAGGCTTTTTTCGGTTGGACTTATTTTAGACCAGACCAAATATGCATAGTATTATATTATATTATATCACTCGTTCATTGTTCTAAAACATGTTGGGCGCTAGTCAGGCGGTTGAGGGGTGCCTAGAGCCTAGGCAGCCTACTAGGCTGATTTTTTGGCCGACTAGACCGATTATTCCTCTACAGTTAGGGCTGTCTAGGCCGATTAATCGGTCCGACTAGGCTGATTTTTAGAATAGTGCTCTTATTATTACTAGAATAGGACTAATAGAAATATTATTGTTATTTAAAATAATATACTTGTTTAATAATATTACATTCACTACTATCATACTATACAATAATTATTATGATTTATTATTATTATTATTACCAATAATACTATTCTTAGTTTATTACTATCATTATTAATACCACTACTACAACTATTATTGTTATTACTATTATTCTTTACTTTTTATTACAAAAAGTAAAGCAATTATTGTTATTATTATTACTACTATTATCGTATAGTCTTGCTTGATGTACCCCATTTTTACCCCATCCATTGTGTGGTTCAAATGAGCCAATCATTTAAGGGCGGTGTCCCCAATTCGGATTCTAGAGGATTTTAATGGAGTGTAAAATTCCGTCAGAATTCAGGTGTCCCCGATTTGGATTTATGTAGAATCCATGAAAATAAGGGTGTCCTCAAACATTCCGCGGATTTCTGTTGTTACTTAAATGAGTTTCCCCACTTAAATGAATTGCCCCATTTGAGCCACACAATGGGGGGGGCTAAAAATGTGGTACCTATAGTATTTTTCTATCGTATATATTCTTATCATTGTTGTAGTGTTGATAAATAATAATGTTAGAAGTAGGGAATGACTTTTGCAATTAATTAAATGTATGAACAACATAAATTATAAATCATCGTCTATCCTCTATATCATCACCATTTTCTCTAAGTCTTTCTATGGTCAGACTTTAATACAAGTAATATATTACACTATTATAGAACATAACAATTCAAATAAGGTTAAAATAATATCATATCAAACAAGATCCGAACAGACTACACCAAATATAAACATAAAATTTAAGACATGACCAGACCATAAAATTTCAGTCTAAATGAACTGGACCTTAGATGTCATTATTTCCAACAATGTTTTGATTATCTTACATGTGTAGGGGACTAAGGCAGTATGCTGCTTTGGCTATTTTTAGCAGCTAGTGGGCCTAATGAATCTATTCATTTCTCCATCTTTTACCTATTTCGCTTTTGATGGAAAGGAACATATGTTTGAGGTTTTATCCTAGTGTGCTTTTGTTGTTTCAAAGCCTTTTATATTTGACTCGCCATTTGGCACTTTCATCTTTATCGTGATATATAATGTCGTGTTTTACAAAGCTATTCATTTTCTATCAAGTAGAAAGAGTTCAAATTCCAAAAAGGTACCAAGGGGGCACTAACCTATAACCTTCATACAAAATTACTCGCAAATAAGTATGTCGAAGAGCTCATATAGGCATCTGAAGACAGAATCTATTCATATAAAAGATCATCGACCTGTAGATGTGACTTGTGTCTAATCAGTTTATGTTCTTTTGTTTTAGTTTCAAACAAAGAGAACTGTCTGTATGAATTTAAGCCTGGAGTTTCTAGATGTCCCAGCTTGAGGATTGCCGTATTGTAAAATGTAGAAACCTGCAACAACATCTGTAGCTCCTAAGAGTGTTGGCATTATGTTATTACTAGTATTATTTATAGAATTGAAATTATCCATTCCTGTTGGTTTTTTTGAATAAGTTCATGCATAATAGGCAGTCAGAGCTTTCAATAACCCAATTTCATCACTTATGTTTGTTAATTTTACTTTGTATATTGAGCTTTACCCACTAGATCTCTCTATCTGAAAATAAACATGTTACTCCTACTTCCATTTTTTGCGCTAACACCTGGTGATCCTGATTTCATCAGACTGATCCTGGGCTCCCAATAACCACCCCAAATCATTGAGAGAAGTAAACCTGAGTCGTTTGAACGGTCCGCTATGTTCCCAACGTCCATCTGTACACCACCGCGCACAAAAAACCACTTTTAATTGATTGATTTTGGGTGTTCTCTAGTGAGATGAAGCACTTGTTGCTCAACCACTCAAGCTAGCTGTGAGGGCGAGAGGATCATCATTTGAGAAAAGCCTCCCAAATTTACCTCATTGGTGACTTGAACAATTGAATCCAATACCTCCCACAAGGGGAGGATCTTAAGTGTGGGTGTGATCCACTTGGACCACTTACGCTTGAGTAAAGCCTCTCACTTGGTGAATTGTCCTTCTGTTCTTTCTGTTCCTACTTCAAAGCTGTTCAGTTGCGTTGCCTAGGCACAAAAGGAAAGTCTTCATAAGAATACACTTAAATCTTAATCATCATGTCTAATCCAAGTGTGAAGTTTTCCTTGGAACATGGTATATAATATTAGGATTAATGTCTTTGTTTTCATTATCTAATCGGTAGATTCTTTTCAACTTATTTTCTTTTACATGGAACATAGTGAGTTATATAAAGGTATAAATGTGTCTTGAATGTGCTGATGATGTTGGAATGTGTTTTGAACTTGGTAGGTTAGTTTTATTTGTTTTTCTTTTTGGAAATATTGAAGTTCTTGACACTGACCCACCTGGACTGGATTACGGCCTACTTAAGTTTGCAAGAGTTGTGAATTCTTTCATGTTGCATTTCAATCTTTGTTTTAATTTTCTGTGTAGGACGTTTTTCACTACTCGAGTTTGCAAGGGGTTGTGAGTTCTTTCATGTTGCATTTTAATCTTTGTTTTAATTTTCTGTGTAGGACGGTTCTCACTACATGATTTTCACACCTTCAGATCCACTTCTTTTTGCTGCCGTAAAGGTATGGTATCATATCACATGTGTATGTCTCCTAAAATCTAGTTCCCCTTATTCATCAATGCAATCTTTCTTTGACCATTAGAGAAGGCCAATTAGCCAAATGTTAAGTTTAATACAAAGTTATCACTTTCCGATTAATTATACTGATGTAATTTATTCTAGTTTGTCTAGGTAATAATGATAATGCTTTATTAGTACCTTGTTTGGATCATATTATCATAGAGAAAACGGGCAAATAAGCCCTCGAACGATTTGCGATTCTTTATTTTATTTTATTAATAAAATAAAGAAAAAGTTATATGAAAAATAGCTAAAATGATCATCTACAGTAACTTTATCAGAAAAGTAACTCCAACCTTACTTTTTCTTATTATTACACAAATCACCGTGCGAAATCAAAAATTACGTGTTTGGTGAAAAAGTTGGTTGATAAGCTTGAATCATGATAAATCAAAATACATGTTTTCCAAACGGGCTCTTGAAGTTCTTGTACAGTGTTAAACTGTAATATTACGACCATGCACTGGTGGAAGTTGAAAAAATATTTGGTTTTTTAACCCCATGAAAGCCGAGTGTAAACTTTACATTGGTGTAGCCATGTAAGGTAATATTATACGTAGTAACCTTCATTATATGAAAGTCCAAACAAAAGTAGCTTCTAAGGCATTATACTTTTATGCATATGTGTTTGACAAAATTGCCATCAGAGCAGGGTAGAATGCATAGAGTAAAAAATGAAGTTCAAAGTCCCATAAATCAGATGACCTGTTTTGAAACTGGTCTGAATCCTATGATATGCACAACTGGCTTCTTTAAATGGAATTATGTTGCATTGTTGCTTTTACAATATGCTGGATAAGTGTGTGAGTGTTGTTTTGTAATGGTACTTTTTACTGCAGGATAAAGATGGTATACTTCAAATTGCAGATGATGTAAGTAATTTATTTAATAGCTCAGCATAAATTGTTATGTGAATGGTGTATGCTATGGTCCTCTGATTCCTCAAACTCGTTACTATTAGTTCCTTTGAATATGCACACACATTTTATTTGAATTTTATAATAATGGCACATGTTCCATCAATAAAACAGGAACTGTTGGAAGACCCAGCAATTGTACGTACAATTGATGAGGAGACAGAATTCAATGCTTTAGTGGTATGCATGTTTATGTTATTGAATACAACTTGAGGATACATTATTGATTAGATATTTTAAATTTTTTATGGTTGACTTTTATTTTGCAGGAAGAGGAGATTGCCCTTTTCGAGTCGCTCTTGGGTGAAAGATAACGCCCAGTATCGTGATATGGTGAGTACCTAGAAACCTTGTAGTGAATTACAAGAATTGTGGATGAATGTCTTGATTGGGCAGAATTATCTACAAAAATATCTAATTTGTATTTATTTTAATATATTCAAAATGACAGGTTTGTCATACTTTTCTATTATATTGCTCCGTAGTTTTTTGTTTGATCATTTCATATGAATAATTAGTACCACTTAGTTAAATTTATTATAAATACAGAAATCTAATTTTGGATGTTTCCTTAATAGAAAAGAAAACCAGTACACATTGTTACCTTACTACAAATTAGTTAGAGTACTGGTACTTCGCATCCTACACAGGCACCAACCATCCCTGTATACAAGATTACAACAACTACTACATGGGTGCCCTTCTTGAGGATAGACCAAAGATGGCGATGTATATGGCGGCAACTAGTCTGTGTTGCCGTTGGGTTTATTGTTGATGGTCGTTGCACCTGGCCACCTGCCCTTTGCCGCCGGGGAAAAATACAAATATACCCATGTAGACTGTAGTATGGGTGGAGAGCAAATAAACTCCTGTTCTATTTTTCAGAACAAATATACCCTGAAATATATGTTGAAGTGATATATACTTCTGAACTTTGAAAAAGTGCAAAAATACCCCTCATATTCTTATAAAGGAACAAATTTATCTTTATTGACTTTAAATTGATAAAATAAATTTAAAAAAACACCCAAAATAAATTATAAATTCCAAATTAAAAAAAAAATATTTATTATTATGTCAAAATATGAACTCCTTAATTTAAATTACAAAATTATTATTTTTTGTTGTAAATTAATCACTTCAAATTCATAATTTAAAAGGAGGGAGAAAATGAATATACCGTTATTTTACGCTGAATTGTGCACCATACACTGGATCAGACAAATCAAATTTGTGAAACACAAAATCTCGTTTTGTTAGTTTGGAGCTTTCTTGCGTGGATTTTTTGAATAACAGATCTCGCCAATCCAAAAGGTGATATTGACAGAATGGTGGAGGAGTAAATCCTAGTATGTTTTCAAATTGTTTCTAAGAGAGGCGGTTCGGGACTTGTTGATGCTCACAAGTCACAAGGAGCCATCATATCGGATGAAACTCCCACACTGTTGCTATTGGGAAATGGGAATTGCACCGAGACCTCAATCCAATTGTCTCACTCAGCCATCGTTGAGCTACCCCTTATATAAAGTACATGATATTAAATAATTTTTTTACGAATCTTCATACATAATATATTGCATAGGAAGAGGGTAAACGAAATTGCTTCGACCGACACATCAATGGTCATTCTGTAGCAACTATTCACACTGTGAAGATGTTTTTAGTTGGATTGAATATTGTGATCTAATCTGGTCTAGGGTATTTAAGTTTGATATATGATATGATCATGTAGATGTATGGTTTATATTTATTTTATAATTGTCGTATTCTGATCTAACATAGTATCATCTGATTTGATTTGTTTAAATTTGATCTGGTTTGATTTGGAGCACGCGTCCAATGGAAAATATGACATTGAGGGGTTTTTAAAGAAAGGGGGAATTTGACTTTGCACCTCACTTTTTGGGTGATATTGGACTTTGTACTCCATTTTCAAAAAACTTTGACTTTGCACTCTAACACATACCATTTTGTGAAAAAAATTTCTAAATGGGGTGCAAAGTTAAAGGAATTTTAAGTTAAATGGGGTGCAAAATCAATGTTTTTTCAAAATGGGGTGTAAAATCCAATATCATCCAAAAAGTGGGATGCAAAGTCAAATTCCCTCTTAAAGAAATCACGAGGTATCAAATTAAGCGATCTCACCGATCCACAATGAAAATGATGACTATTACACGCACCAAAGTACAAGCCTTACAAATGACCTTCGAGAATAACCTAATTAGAAGAATCCAAATTCAAACGCCACCAGATCCACACATTCAACATTAAAAAATGATCAAATTTTCGATCGAAATCAAAAGATTCTCCAAAAAGGCCAATACTAACAATTAAAACATGCTTAAAATCAGGACTAAAAGCTACATTATTCACAAAGAGGACTAACCATTAATTTATTACCCTTAATACCCCTAAGAGTATTAATTCATAATAAAATGTTTTAATACATAATAAAATCATAAAAAATAAAAAAAATTGTTAGAAAATAATAAAAAATAATAAATAAAATATTTATAAAATATAAATTTATTTTTTTTTAAATAAAAAATTCAAAAAATGATACAGACTCTATTTAAAAAAATATGGATGCCTTTCGCATCGCCTCTATCGCCTCCCAGTACCACCACCTCGATCGGTAAAAAGTGTCTGTAAAAAATGCCATTTTTCTGAAAATGACAAGAAAAGGACATTGTTATTCTTTGATAATGTCAAAACATTCACACTATTTTTTTCTTTTATTTTTATTTTTTTATTTTGTTTTAATTTATAACTTATTTTTCAATTTTTTTTTATTAATCTTATTAAATATTTATTTTAGTTTCAAACTACATGGGTATATTTGTCCAAACACACATGATTAATCCTATGTAGATAATTTAAAACATGATAGTCTTATATGTGATTCTTAGACATATTTTAGTTCTATTTAGGTAGTTAACTCTTTTTTATTTTCAGTTTTTTATAACTACAAACAATGCAAACCAGAAAGTGTTTTTTAGTTTTATTTGACAGTTTTCAAAACTAGCCAACACTCTTAAATTGCTACTTTTCTATATTAATTAGTGGTGTGTGACTAGGGGTGTAAATGAGCTAAGTCGCTCGCTCATTGCTCGTGGACCGTTCGGAAAAAACTTTACTCGTGTTCGATTGTATTAAGCTTGACTCGAATTCGGCTCGACTCAAATAGTTAACTAACACAATTCAAGCCTATTTATTTTAGGCTCGTGGTTCGTGAGTCGGTTCACGAGTCTTTGTGTCATATTTTATATACAATAATTATATATGTCATGATTATATATATACTAGTACTTTTTTTTGGGAATATGTATTCTGATTTAAAACTATTGCATTTTCAATACTTATCACGAAATATGTTACTCCGTATAATAGTAATAATTACAAAAATAATAACATGTACATAGTATTACTAGTATAACCATAATCTATAATAATTATAATATGTACCCGTAATATTTATTGACAATAAAATAAAGAATAAAAGTGTTAGTAAAGGAGAGATAAACTAAAAATGAGAATGAACACATATTATATTTTTAGCTCGAGTTTAAGCATCTTATTCGAGTTCAAATCTATAAAAAATAATTAGCGAAACTTGATCCGAGATTGAACAGCAGGGCCGGTCCTGAGGAAATGAAGGCCCTGTGCAACAAAAATAATTGGGCCTTCTTTTAAAAGTTTCAACACAAGTTAAAAAACCGAACCGAAACCGCACCGACTCAAACAGGACCCGAAAGTCGGGACTTGAACATAAATCGGTTTAATGAAGGTTTTTTGAGTTATAAAATCGATTCAAACCGAACCGAACCGATTTTTATTAAGAGGTATTTTTAATTATTTATTTTGTAGAACACATAGGTAATATAAAGCTTGTACGTCCTTATTTCAATTCAAAAATTAGTTGATTCGGTCCAGTGGGTTGATGTTTAGAGATTCAGCGTGCATGATTTTATTTTCACCTAGGTTCGAATCCCGCATGCCTCGCTTCTTATCTTTTTAGTTTCTTAAGCTTCAGATTCCCACACCGGTGAAAACGGAGGATTTAGTACTCCTTCGTTCCTATATATACGCTCCACCTCTAAGTAATACTACTCCCTCCGTCCCAAATTGTTTTGCAAAGTCAACATTTTTTTGTCAACCAATAAAAAAAGTCAATGCTTCCTATCGATAATTAATTCCATTTTTAATAATTAAAATTTATATATTCAGAAACTATATTAATATCTCGTCAAAGTTGTAAATTCCAAATTAGAATTTAATTAAAAATTGACATCCTAATTAAGCAAATAAAATGAAATTGTTTGACCAAGAAAAGTTAAATTTGCAAATCAATTTGGGACGAAGGTAGTAGTATATTACTACAAAAAAATTGGGCCCTTCCAATTTTTTGGGCCCTGTGCGGTTGGACACCCTACACACCCTCAGGGCCGGCCCTGTTGAACAGAGCTCGAACACGAATTATTTAACTCGTCCAAGCTTGAGATCGAGATCGAGCCCGTGAATTCTTATCAAGCGAGCTTGTCCACCCGATGAAAAACTCCAAAAAATGCTAATTCTACAATTTCCCCAAGGTATATATTATATCTTTAATTTTTCATGTGGATCAAATAAAATACTACGTCCCTTTCAAGAAATATACTACTCCCTCTGTCCCAAATTGTAAGACATTTTACGGTTTACGATACTTGACCGATGATAAAGCAAATGGATGCCTATCCGCATTCAAATTATCTTTGGAAAAAAAGAATTACATATTCAGAAACTACATTAAAAGTTTTACAAAGTCACAAAAACCAGAATCAAATTTGATAAAAATTTGATATATAAAGTAAGAGATTAAGAGTAATTTGTATTGACCAAGTGAATAGAAAAAACATCTTACAAAATGAGATTGAGGGAATACTATACAAGTCTACACTTACACAATTGAAACTAATTATACTAATCTTGATATAAAAGTACAATTTGATATGAATCAGCAAGGGCGACATACGGAACAGAAAAGTAATTATACTAATCTTGATAATTGCAGGCTAAGGGGATGAACTAAGTATGAAAAAAAGAGAAACAAATTGCCCTAAAACTTTGAAAAAAATTAAGTTGTTCTAGGTTTCAGCTCATAGCGCCAACATCCTGATCATGCTTCAGAACCAATCATATGCATTATAAATAGGGGTGGAGGTGGAGGGGGTCGACCCGGGCCCGGCCAACCCCCACATTTGAAAAATATTGATATTATTAGTGTAAAAAGTTATTTGAAAAATTCTTTATATCAGCCTGCCCTAACCTTAACTCCTACCCTTCATTATAAATATGATGCCCTAAGACTCCTAAAACGTCAAACATGGATTTTTAGATTCCTAAATCTATATATTGGTGGTTAGGGATGGACCCGGGCCGGTCCGGTTCTGGTTCCGGGCCGGGCTCGGGCGGGCTTTTTTTGCAAAAATGTTGGGCCCGGAACCGGCCCGGGTTGATACCGGGTCCGGGCTGGGCCCGGGTCAAGTTCAATTTTTTTTTGGTTTCTAATCAACACCCGACTCCCCCCCCCTTCACCCCACCCCCAAACCCCCCCAAAACACCCAACCCTAACCTAGAAAAGAAAAAAAAAATTGAAAAAACAAAAAGAAAATTAAACTGGGCCCGGCTCGAACCGCCCGGACCGGTTCACCAAAAGTTGAGCCCGAGCCCGGCCCGCCCGACCCGCCCAAACGGGCTAAAAGCCCGGAACCGGCCAACCGGTCCCGGTCCGATCCAGGCCGAAACAGTAACGGGCCGGGCCGGTTTCGGGTCGGGCCGGGCCGGTTTAGTCCATCCCTATTGGTGGTTGGAAAGAGGTTATATGAGGGGTTATAAATGGAAAGGTGGAGGGAGAGAGTAAAGGAGGGTGAACATTGAGAGCCCCTTTGGTGACACCTTTTTTCGGCTTATCAGGCTTATCAGCCAGTTTTTTCATCAAACACGTAACATTTGATTTCGCGCGATTGAAGTTTGTAATAAGCAGAAAAAGTAAGGTTGAAGTTACTTTTCTGGCTGTATTGGCTGAAGTTACTGTAGAAGATCATTTTAGCTATTTTTTCGTATAGTTTTTTATTTAATTTATTAATAACAAATATTTTAAATATAATTTTTTCATTAATCAGCAGAATCAGCCAATACAGCCACTTTAGCCAGAACTTCAAAAATTTTAGCAGAATCAACCAATTCAGTCATATTTAGTTTTACCAAATGGGCTCTGAGTCTACCTATAGCTGGTTGATTGGCTCTGGCTAAAGCAAAAGGTAGAGCAAAGGAGGGTGAACATTGTAGCAAATGTGTGGGTCCTCAATTATAAACAAAAATCACCATTTCTTTTAAAATGTTATAACTTTTTATTGGGTTTTCAAATTTTTCAAAAACTATATCAATATTCATGAATTTTTAAGATATTTAATATGACACCAATATTACATATATAATGTGAAAAAAGAATTTCAAATTTTAACTGTTGGAGTTTTCTTGAGCACAAAAAAAACACGTAACACAATTTTTTAATTCATGAAGCCTACATAAATAACTGAATATTACATCATCTCATTTTATTTTTTATAGAAGCGGAAAAACGTTAAAGAAAAATTAACGAGGATGCTTAAATGAAATTCGATTTTAATGATAATACTCATAAAATGTTCACTCATTATTTAAATGAATGTTTAGAAGAGAATTTGATAATAATCGAACATTACTTAAACTAAGTTCATTTTTTGTTAACCGAAAAACGTTAAAAAAATAAATGAAATTTTTAATTTTTTACATCAAAATGTGTATTTTTTTTTTATTTTATAAGTATTTTGGAGAAGAAAATAAAAGCAAAACATTACTTACAATAATTAATTAATATTTTACTAAATTGAAATGTTAAAAAATATGTTAAGTGTATTTTATTGACGATGCACAGATGCTAGGAAAAACAATATTGACGTAATCTAAATACTGTTTTCAAATGGTCGGAATCCAAATTCAACGATTTGGACTCCCCAGCACTGCAAATGGTCTAATATGTAAAAAGAAAAAGTCTACGATACAGTAGATCTTATGTCTAAACAATAACCTCGGATGCCCAAAAGAGCTTTGCCCAGAATGAGCCGCTTTAAATGATCCTTCTACCTCCGTAGACGACGTCGCTTTGCCCAATCAATAACCTCGGACGCCCAAAAGAGCTTCTTTTTCAAAACTTCCGCCAATTATCGTTAACGACGATGCAAAACTATAAATATATTGCTCAACTAAATAATTTTACCCAATTCAAAGACAAATTATTAAACCATTCAAAAGTGATGTTACAATGTTCAAGCTCATGCTCCGTTTTTTGCAAGAAATAATTTGTCGTTGAAACTTTTTTGGTTAAATATCGTCCCTCAATATATTAAAGTGAGAGAATTCCCTAAATAGAAGTAAAAAAATTTTGAAATTCCAAAATAGGAGTATCATTTTTTTTATTCCTTGAATAAGAGTAAATTTATGCCAAATTTGGCATTACTAGGCTTTAAAACATGTCATTTTTCCCAAACTTAGCAGATTACTCATATTCAGGGAATAAAAAACATAATACTCATATTTT